CGACGGTGACGGTGTAAACTGTTTGTATAAAGCTTTATATTTCAGAAGGTAGAAGACCTAGATGATTGAAATATTGTATGCAGATAACTTATGTACGATGTTTCCTTCTGTCATATGCACATTGTCCTTGACCTCATTTTCATGGTTCAGTGTTCAGTGACTGCTTGGATTTTTTTATTATTTTTTTTCACATATATGGCTCCTTTGAAAGGTTTACATGTTTTTCGGACAAGGTTAACCTGACCTGGACCTCGTTTTATGAATCAGTGATCAAGGTTACGTTTACGTGGTCATGTCCGTATCTCAGATACGATAAGCAAAAGGTCAACTGTAGTTGGTGTATGAAATGATTGTATGGAACACATCGGACTGGCGGGTTTCCTCTGACCTTGACATAATTTTCATGGTTCAGTTGACAATATTTAGTTTTTGTGGTGATTAGGGTATTTCAAAGATATGATAATCAATAGGGCCTCTATATTTGGTGTATGGAATGATTGTAAGGTGTACATGTCCGACTGGCGAATTTCATCTCACCTTGACCTCATTTTCATGGTTCATTGGACAATGTTAAGTTTTGTGGCTTAGTCTTTTTCTTGATACTATAAACAACTTAACCTCAATATTTTGTGTACGAAATGATTGTAAGGTGTACATGTCTGTCTGGCAGGTTTCATATGACCTTGACCACATTTTCATGGTTCATTAGTCAATGTTAAGTTTTTAAGATTTTGTCAGTTTAATAGATACTATAAGCAATGGGTCAATTATATTTGGTGTATGGAATGATTATAAGGTATATATTTCTGTCTAACAGGGTTCATATGACCTTTTTCCTATTTTTCATTGTCTATTGGTCAATTTTAAGTTTTCGCGGTTTTGTCAGTTTTTTTTAGTAGAAATAAGTCAACCCATTTGGTGTATGGAACGATTTTAAGTTGTACATGTCTGTTGGGCAGGGTTTATCTGACCTTGACCTCATTTTCATGATTTATTTGCCAATGTTAAGTTTATGTAGTTTGGTCTGTTTTCAAGGTACTTTAAGCAATAGGACCATTATATTTTGTTTAATGAATGATTGTAAGGTGTACAAGTTTGTCTGGCATGGTTCATCTAATCTTGACCACATTTTCATGGATCATTGATAGTGTTATTTTCATGCGATACTTGTAGTATATAAAACAAGCATATTACAGACTTTCAACATAAATTTAATCTGAAGTATACCAGAGAGACATTTCAGCGTGTGCACTGTTTTGTAATTTCTAAAATGTGCGCATAGGCATTAAAAATGTGCATCTGTCTTTGTGTACTAGTTTATATTTATAATATTTATAAATGAATCGTTTACAAAACTTTGAATTGTTCGAAATATTTAGGATGTTTTACTTCAGGAATAGATTACCGTAGCGGTATTTGGAAAATCTCTCGGTATTTTGGGTCTTAAATGCTCTTCGTACTATATTTGGCCTTTTATGTTTTTTATTCGAGCGTCGCTGATAATTCTTTTGAAGACGAAATGCGCGTCTGCATACAACATTATAAACCTGGTATCTTTGAGAAGTTATTTTACAACCACTGGGTCGATGTCACTGCTGAGGGAGGTTTCCTCTGCGAGGCAATCACCAGCACACGAGTCAACACTTCTGTTTTGACATAAAATTTAATTAATATGTTAATATATATATAACAGTCGGAAAGCTGACCCCGGTTTGACCCCATTTCTTAAAGCAACAATGGAAGTCATGTGATTACCATATAAGGGCATTTTTTTACCAAAAAAAGTGAAGCCCGTTTTTTGGAATTTGTAGTTTTTTGCATGAATTAAAACTAATTTGCTTTTAAGTGAACATTCTTGAGTATTATATAAGAAATATATTGATCCACTCAATTATGGATTAAACTAATTTTTTCTCTCAAAATGTGTCTTCAAAGTCTAGGTGTTGACCAAAAAAATCGGTCACTGGAAATTAAAATCGTAATTTTCTTTCTTAACTTCTCGGGAAGCTATGCTGAATTTAAATTATGTCATGTAACCTAACTTTGACTATGACATGTCAAATTTGTGCCATTTAATACGCTGTAATACGCAAATGTGCCACTTCGATGTGTCGATATTTCTGACGAAGCGGGGCCGATAGTAATTTGCGAGTTACGTCCCTTTGTTTGACACTCTCATGATCAAACTATTATTATATTAAGCACCATATGCTGTTATTTACATGAGGATATTATTAAAATAATATTATTGAATATATTTTGATACTAAAGACATGTGCAAAAAAATTAGCGAAACACATTTTATCACTTTTCAGAACTCAGTCTCAGTGAAATACTCAAATCATGAGGCCCTATGTCAGTATGTGCCATAATATTATTATTCCAAGAGTTAATTTAATATTTATATTTTGGTAAGTATTTATCCTGCTGTAACCAAATTATTTCAACACAGAAATAAATTTCTAATTTAATCATACAAGGGGTAGCCAAAATATTAATGAATAATGGATCAAGACAGGATTAAAATGATCAAATACAGGAACTCCTTTTCATTACTGATACCTGATCCTACCTTTTTCATTTAAACTTAAACGAGACCATAATGAAAGTATTCTGAGACTGAATGTAAATTCTTCATTATTTGAAATAAAAGGAAATTACTTAATTAGTTTGCAATTCTTGTATGAAAAAAACTAAATATAACAATCAATTATGTCTCACTGATTCCATGCAGATTCTAATGAATGGACTCAAATTATAAAAAAAAAAACACTAAACCAATAAATAAATGGTTCTAATCATGATTATGAACTTGAAAATAGACAAGAACAAAAAAGACTGGGTCTAATATTTTTTTTCTTCTATTTTTTTTTTTTTTAACAATTATGCATCTTTATATTTATATAAAAGTATTTCAGAGCAGATTCTGAGTGCTTATAGTCAACAATATTATGTTTTAGATCACAAGTCATAAGTAAGTCACACTTCATGTCAGTATGAACATGCTTTGAATAAGAGTGATTAAAATGCTAGTCTGAAAGAGATTGTTTTAAGTTCATATTTAGGACAAGACTTTTTCATTTACCTTTGCCTTTGGCAGTTTTGCAGGATTACTTCATCACAAACTTTTTTACATATCACTAATATATTATTAACGATGAATGAGTTTTGGTTAAGGTTGTGTAAAGACAGTATACGATTTCCTTACCTTGTTTTAGTTAAGTCAAACAATTCACTGACTTAAAGAGAATAATTAATCCAGTCAAATATTCACAGCTGAACTCGCCATTGCTTATTCAAACAAACACACTAAATGTGTGTACATTGTGTAAAGATGCAAGTTGACATCGATGTGTAAGATAAAAAAACTACAATGTCAAAAAATGTCTTTCGTTTGGAATTTAGTTCGAACGGGGTTTCCTAAGGGGTGATAGAACATTAGACTTGATTTTTGTTTTAACTTTGAGATACTTATTATTAATTTTTTATATAGTTTGTATAATCTTTGTTTATCTGGAAAAAAAAAGAAGAAAAAAATAAAAGACAATTTAGCATAATTCTTAAACGACGATCAAAGGCATTACGTTATTTTTAAAAGACGGACAATTTATAACATGTTTAAGTATTATTTTCTTTGATAATAAGACCCATGCTTGAAAAATCGAAAGAAATCTATGTCTGACCCTAATGGCAAGTAAGAAACAGAAAAAAGAAAAAATTCCAAATTGGCGCCAAATTATTTTTTCCGCGAAATTAACTCAATTTCAGAATGGCGGGTTTTAATATCAGTCCCATTGTTGTCTTAAGAAAGTAGCAACAACGGTCGTTTCTAAGGGCTTGCTTTCCGACTGTAAATTAGCTGTTTCCAAACTTTTGCAGTCTTCGAAATACTAAGTATTTTCTTTTTTAAAATAGACCTTAGTTGTATTTGGCAATACCTTTCGGAATTTTTGGATTCTTAATAATATTCAATTTCTAACTTTTTTCCTTTTCTGATCATTCTTTTGTAGACGAAACGCACGTCTAGCGTACAAAAGTATGAGCCGGGTATCTTTGATGAGTTTTTGTTTAGAGAATTTATAAGATTTGCAGAATGGTGAAATAATGAACGAAAAATATTCATGTATAATAAATAACATAATACTTTCGTTATTGCAATATTTGTCGCCGGACGATAACCAGCCATTAGTTATTCCAATGCAATTATTTTGTATCAATGGTTCTGATTGGATGACAGTGAGCGTAAAATTCTCTATCTCCTTGTCTGTAACCAAGGAAGCCGACATTTTGAATTGCGGAATGTATCGACATAAATTTTTACAATAATAAGCAAAAAAACTCCCATGTTGCACCTAGAAATCTTCTTTTTATAAAATTTTATTACATTCTGAAGCGGCCAAGAAGCCAGAAAACACGGTGTTTACGTTTGACGCCTATGACGTCACCTAGTTTAGGGGCCAAAGAAGATAACATCTTCTCGCGGAATTTTCTTTAATGAGAATTTTACACTAGAATAATGATTGAAATTGAATTATGTACTTGTTTTACATTAGAATAGAGATAACTGTATTGTATTTGAAGCTTTGCGGACGTCCATCGGTAGTTTTACTGTCGCAAATACCCGTTTACCTGTCTCCGCTACGCGTCGCAAGTTAAACTAAATTTGCGACAGTAAAACTACCGATGGACGCCCGCAAAGCTTCAAATACAATACAGTTATCTCTTAAATCAATCGTTCTAGAATATTTGTATAATACCTTGAAAATGTGCACTTTATGTAAGTATTTAGAGATATTTTGTTTTTTGTAATAGTTATTATCTCTTCGGACTGTAGTATATATACCTGTCCATGCTAGCGTTCACTTAGATGCTCCATAAATCATAAGTAAAAATGTGTAATTACCATTTAATGGCCATTAAAATTGAAAATGATTGTATTGCAACCAAGCCATTTGACTTTTGACCTTTTTTTTTAATTATCTTCTTAATTTATATTGTAGACTGAATGGATCACGTGCATAAGAGTAAATCATTCACTTGGCAGTCAAATCGATTATAACATAAACATTATCGAAATACCGGGATTTGGTAATTTAGAGATAGATAAACAGATTGTTTATCGAATTCAAGAGTATTTTACAACAGAAGGCGAACAAGGTATAGCATGTTTGAATGCTGTGTGTCTTGTCATTCCTGCTTCGACGGCATTATCAACAGAACAGAAATACATTTTTGACGCAATTTTCTCAATATTTGATAAGAAAGTAGCGGAGAATATGTTGATCTTGGCTACATTCGGGGACGGCGATGAGCCACAGGTTACAGAGGCATTAAATATAGCACATGTCCCCTACAAAAAGTGTCTTCAAGTGAACAATGTTGCTTGGTTTGGGTCTAACAAGAGTAAAAAATCTCCAAACGAAATCTATTGGGATATGAGCTGTGAAAGTTTAAAAACATTTTTCTTAGAAATCGAAAAAGCTGAATCAATAAGTCTCCTCTTAACACAAGTGGTTCTTAAAAATCGAGAAAAAATTGAAGCAATGATTCGGGGTCTTCTTCCTCAAATTGAAGAAGGGACGAATAAGTTAAATACATTACAAGAAGAAGTTCTCATTCTAGAACGACATAAATCTGATGTCGAGGAATACAAAGAGTTTAAGTACAAAGTAACAGAAACACACCAGAGGAAAGTTGATCTTGAAACAGGAAAATATGTCACAAATTGTCTCCAATGTAACAGAACATGCCACTATCCCTGTGCCATACCTGATGATGACGACAAGGAAAACTGTGCTGCAATGTGCGAAGGTAACTGCATGGTTTGTCCTGGGAAATGCCACTGGCAAAAACACAAAAATAATAGTTACCGATTTGAAGTTTTCCCCATTGAAGTCGAGAAAACATATGAAGATATTAAACAAAAGTATCACGCTGCAAAAAAGAACGCAAAACAACAAAAAGTTGTTATAGAAGAGGCAAAACAAGCATTTAGTTTGTTAAAACATGACGTTTCAAAAACTATCCAAAAAGTAGCAGGGTTTATCACTGAGTTGAACACGATTGCTTTTAAACCCGATCATTTAGGCGTCGCTGATTATATCGATATAGTCCTAGAAAACGAGAAAAAAGAGAAAAAACCTGGATGGGAAAACAGAACAAAAATTTACAGTAAAATGAGAGATGAGGCTCAGTTGATGTCGAATGTACAAGCCAAGAATTTCCTGCCATGGGACGAGCCGAGTTGTTAAAAAAGCAATTTTTAAGTTTACTCTTTACACTTTTATGCTTGATCCATGGTACAACATGTACAATGAACATCCCTTATTTCTGAAAAAAAAAACGCAATGGATAATAGTCAAATTTTAGCTTAATGTATAAAATGTATATTATATTTAGCTGTAGAAAGCATGATATTTAAAGATAACATGAAATGTGTAAGATCTAGTAAATAAAATTACGTCTTAAACGGCCATTTCGATCTGAACATCATCTGAAAAGTCTGAACCTAAACAAGTTCAGTTTTGTTAAGAGTTTCAGTTATTTTGTAGATATGTTTTTGTAATAGTTGTAAATTAAGTACTGTTCTGACATTTTGCTGGAAGTCAATCCAAACTGTTCAGCTTTTTCGACAGTTCAGTATATTGTTGTTTTGTACACGTAAATATAAAATACTAAACATAGTCTGAACAGATCTTAATTAACTGCAAATATGTTTTCTGAAAAGAGCTGAATGTACTGTAGTGAATAAGTCTGGAAATTGATTGAAAAACTGAACATTACTTTAGAATTAATATAATGTTTTTATGAGCTATTCAGATTAAGATGACCGTTTCAGATCAAAAATGGTTTAATAATTATGTATAGGGAAAGTAAATGTATTTGCCTTAATAGAAGATAGTAGTATGATGAATCGCTCATCTGGCAAAGATATGCCGTATTGATATATCATTTTCATCTGCTGTAGTTAATATTAATATACAAAAATACAAAATTTCGAGCATCTTACATGCGATCATTTTCAACCAATCACAGAAAAGATCGTCGATCACACCCATGCTGTTACCATATATATATAGTTAATCATCGGATTTTTACTTGGTTGAATAACACGACAGGTGCCATATGTGGAGCAGTGACCGCAGCACCTGACTTCTACCCAAATTTTTATTGGAGTTCGTGTTGCTAAATCTTCAGTTTTATATGTAATGTTTTGTTATTGTTGTTTGACACTTTGTTGGTTTATTTTGTCATGGTTTAGCCTATTTTTAATTGACATATAATTTTCGATTGCCCAATAAACATCATCTAGTACTGAGAAAACGGTACGTCAAATGGTTTTTTTTGTCTTTTTGTTGTTTTTTAGGTTAAGATTGCATGTATGCAATCAAAAACCTAATGGGACTGGCTTGATAATTGTATTTTCCAGACCTCATCACTGCTTACAAAAATATGGTGCATTGAGGTGAACATTCTTTTCATCCTATCCTGTACAGTCAATATATTCATCAATGAAATACATAATCAGATGTACAAAATGATTTGCATGTGCATAATAATTCTTGTCAGGATTAAGTAAGTTATGTTTTGTGCAAGAATTTATCTTGACTGAGAACATTTTAAGTTTGAGGTATCTTCCTTCGGCCATTACCGTAGTTGAATAAACTACAATAATGGACAAAGGATACTATCTCAAATTAGAAAAATGTCCCTTCCAATGATTCGTACAATGCAATGTTTAATTTAATGTTTACATTGGTAAATGCATGTAACCTTTACTATTCAAAAATTATAAACAATTATTTACGTAATTGAAAATCAATGATTGTAACATTTTATGCGACTCGCCCTCTGTATTTAAACACAATTCGTTAATTTCTAATGTGGCTATCAATATGCTTGCTGGTATTGTCACGCTTTTAATCTGTGTATTAAACTATAGATTGTGCATTTTATGGGCATTTACATTTTCTTAATAATAACTCCAATAAGCCTTAGAAATATTTCATTGAAAATCACGAGTGTTTCCTCTATATTCAGATTGTAGAAATTTCCATTGAATTATGAAGAGGTTATTTGTTTCTTAAAACAGAGGCAAAAGATACCAATGGGATATTCAAAACACGTAAGAAGAAGGAAAAAAGGCAACGCCATGGCAAATAACGAAAAACGACGAAAAATCAAACAACTTCACAAACCCCTTAACAAAAGACTCACAACTGCGCAACATGAATAAAAAAAAACTAAGTGCTTCAGAAGGATAGGCATCTCCTTAATTTCATGACACGTCATGTTTCTCATCATAAGTACAAGTCTGTGACACAGATAATATATAACCGTTAAACTAAAGTAGGGATGCATTTACTTTTCAAACTTGGAACCTTGGTACAAAAGCATCATTAACTAGCTATCAGGGAAGTCATGATAGAAAACGCAACTCTGAAATATCGCATCAACTGGGTGCTCCGGAAGGGTAAGCATATCCTGCTTTACATGTGACACCCGTCATGTAGCTCATAAGTCTAATTCGGTAGGTCACATTTGGGGAAAAGAGGACGGGATATCTGTCGTCATCTGTGAAACAGATATTCTATAACGGTGAACCAACTCGTGATGGCGTCCATAAAAAATAGAAATGGATGATTTCAACTTCACCACTTGGAACTCTTGGCTTATTAGCTTCCTTCTGAGCAGCAACCCTCTACCAAGGAAATAATGATTGGAAATGCAACCCTGAATTATCGTACCAACTGAGAGATATATACTCAATATGTAGGAGTTGCTAAAATGTTGCTATATAGAAATGGAAAGTTTTCAATTTGGAACCTGAAATCATCTCAAAGTTTTGTTTTCAACCGAACCTCATTGTCAGTTTCTAGATTTAAGTCAAGATATGAGTCAGATTTAACTGTATCCTTTATTTCAAGTTCGATGGGATAGATGCGTTCAACATAGTCATCAGACTTAGAATAATTTTGTGAGAGGTCTATATAGCGGAAAGTGAAGTTAAAGGATAATGCTAACTTGTTTTTTCCTTCCAAAGAAGCTCCTGTATGAATTCAACCTCATATGAATAAAAGATCAAGTCGACAAGAAGAAGAGCACAGTTCGTTCCCATGGGAATGCCAATTATTTGTTGAAAAACATGTCCTCCAAACGTAACAAATATGTTGTCAATCAAGAAATCAAGCATCTTGATAATGTCAGTTTCAGATAATTTTTTGTTTGAATCAGAGTTATTTTTTACCAAACACGATGTATCCCTCCCTAAGACAAGATACTTGAATCTACGTTGGCCATTCATTTTTATGAAACAAAGCAGGACCAACTTATTCAATTTGTCGTTTAGTTTGGAATGGGATATACTTGTGAAAAGTGTAGAAAAGTCAAATATTTTAATACTATTGCAAGATGAAAGAGTCTTAGATTGTATGTATTCTAAAAGATCTTTGGAATTTTTTAGTACCGGATATCCACATCTGATTCACGCCACCACTAGAATAGGTATTTTTACAATAACTTTGAAGCCCGGCTTTGATTGTTGCTGAAATTGATGTATTTCGTGGAGCACTTGAAAGACCTAGCAATATAACGTTGTTTGTAAAGACACTTATGTAATTTAGGTATCCGATACAGTGAATGAAGATCCAGTTCTTCATCTTTGGTTGTAATTCCAAAGACAAATAGAACATACAAACGATTACCCAGAATTTACTCCTTGGTAAGTGTCGTGGGGTTATATGTTGAGTTTCCAAGTGAATTGTCAATACTTAATATATTTATCAAGCAGTTTATGTAATGTGATTTACACTTTTAAACGATGTTGTTTGTGGCTTTATCTGCGAGGACAACAACATATTTGTCATGGAGGTAGGACAGGTGTTTTGCAACAATTGGGTCTTTAAAGATTGATGTAGCATATGTGTTTTCATAGACCCATTCAGTTTTTTTTAATGCTGATTTGTAGCCTTTATCCATGCGAAAAGAGTATCTGCGTATTCTTTCTTGCGTTTATTGCCTGGCATAATCTTGATATATGTCAAGATAAGAGGCAGACTTAACTTTAACTACGAATGGAAGTGCTCAACAAATGATAAATTTTATATAACCTTGTGTACTGAATTTGTCAAACCACGAAATCAAATATCCACAAAAATATAAGTTTTTCTTAATCAGCGGAAATTGGTACCCACGTTAATTAACGAGCCTACAGTACTAGTATTTCAATGAAAAGCCGTTGGCCGATTTAGATGTGACAAACAAGACTTGTATGCATAACTTTACCTACTATAGTGGAAGAACTCATAACAGAACAAGTTTATAAGTGATGCGCTATGTAAATTTTGGAAGAACTAATTACAAATAATGTTAACAATAAAACAAAATGAAAGTTATAACATAGCATAGATATTAACAAAGATTGGAAAATATGATTATCTATTCTCGCATTAGTAGCTTGTAATCACTTTACAGCTTTATAAAAAGATTTCAAGATTCTTTTGAAAACAACATATTCAGAGACATTCCAGTGTTATCTGCTTCCTCGGATCACTTCAGACGACTTAAAGTTTAGGAAATATTATTCATATAACAAATAATATTTTGTAAAATGATCAGCAAAACAAGATCTACAAATATGTCGGCAAAGCCAAAATTGTTAGTCGACTCCTTAAAGGAGTCATTGTCCTGAAATGACGATTTTGACCCTTTTTGCGTTTTGGGCAACAAATGTAGACTACAGAGTGATTGTTAGTCATCAGCAAGACACAACTAACAAATAAGGTTAACAAATCTGAAATTGTAAGTCTATTTTTTGTTGTTGAGTATTCTGCAAATAGAAAAAAAAACACTAGTAAAACATCAACAAAAAAGAGATTTTAATGAGGAATTAAATTCTAGTCTACATTGTAAGAACTTGGCCATTGTTGAAGATGCATATATTTAGGTGAGAACTACAGGCTCCGTGAAGCCTCTATTTTTCAAAAAAATATACAGGGCCAAGTATGACCCAAATGAACCGTCTGTTTTCTTTTTCTTTTAACTAGCTTTGCAATTGTCAGTGTACATGCAGAAAGTAAAATAAACAAGTTAAAGGAAAACCGACTGTATCATAAAGTTGAATCAGAGTTTTTTTTAATCAGAACCATGTCATGTGACGTTTTTTAAATGTTCGAAATATTCATTTCCACATAAGGAGTTGTTAATAGGAAGAATCTGTATTAGATCAGTGGTAATAAGAACAGTAAAATAAAAACAATTCCTATTCTCTAGAAGAAATAAAAAACTAAAGTATCAAATTCTATAAAAATGATGACGTTTTCCAGTAATTATGAGGTAATGTGCAACCTCCAATGGTTTTATCTCCAACAAAAGATATCCCATGCAGCAGATAAGCTGTTGACAATCTTGTCTATAACATATAGACGGCAATCAACAAAAAGATTTGAATAAATCCCATCAAGGCAAAAAAGAAGAAAATATCTGGCAACATCTACATTTTGTATAAAAATGGTTTCATGGTCATAATCCTGTATGTAGCAACTGCGGAAATGAACCATTTATAAACTTCCTTTAATCGTCCCAAAAATACATACCTTATCTCTTGTTTCTTGTTTCTTTTTCCGCATTTCTATTTACGGCATGTGTTTTTGGACTGATCACAAGATTTCTGGTTTATTTGTATCCTAAGTATCCTCTTTTTATGTGCACACCCTTTCTTCGGAATGGCAGGTAGATAATTCATTCTCATTATCTCCTGCTTACAGAATATCGTGTTTCATGTTATGCTTATACAATAGGCCACGTGTTTTTCAAATATGAAGTTAGTATTTCATCTATTGAAAAAAATAGTGTTGTCACGTTGAACATTCTCTCGTTTCAAAGAAAAAATCGTCAATGATAATTCATTTCTTATAAACTACAATTTCATCGTCACCTTTAAGGTTTCATAAAACATAATTATGTAGGCCAAACACTTACTTCTTACCAAAGAAGAACCATTCATGTTGTTTAATAACTGTCATTTACAATATTTAATTTGTTCAATAAAAAATGTTATTTTTTTGCTGTGGTGAATAGCCAAACTGATCAAATCGGGTCTGTAAAAATTGATAAGTAGATATAAGAAGATGTGGTGTGTGCCAATGAGACAACTCTCCATCCAAGTCACAATTTGTAAAAGTAAACCATTATAGGTCAAAGTACGGCCTTCAACACGGAGCCTTGGCTCACACCGAACAGCATGCAATAGAGGGCCCCAAAAATGACTAGTGTAAAACCATTCAAACAGGAAAAGTGTCCATAAAAATTAAATATATGTTCATAAAAACAAAATATATATTCAAAATTCAAAATATGACACGGTGAATAAAATTAAAAATACATGTATATGAATAAAATTAAATATTTGTTCATAAAATGAAATATGTATGCATGTGTATAATATGACGCAGGTTTCTTAAAAAGTGATGATTTTCTAAAAATTGTTTGAAATTTCACAGTGATATCATACTTTAACTTTGTTTAAACCTGTTTATTTACTTTTGACTTTAATTATTTATCCATGGTAATTTTTTATTAACTGTGTATTTGCATTCAGGTGTCACAGGTCAAATTTATTCGTTCATTGTGTGTTAATTTACGTTTTTTGATTGAGTTAAGCCTTCCAATTGATATTTTATAGTGTGTTTTTCTATGTTGTGATGTTATACTATTGTTTCAGAAAAGGGAGAAGGTTTGGTACCATTAAAACGTTTAATCCCGCTGCAAATGTTTGCACCTTTCCTAAGTCAGGAATCTGATTACAGTAGTTGTCGTCTGTTTATGTAGTTCATACGTGTTTCTCGTTTCTCGTTTTTATATAGATTAGACCGTTAGTTTTTCCGTTTGAATGGTTTTACACAAGTAATTTTTTGGGGCCCTTTATAGCTTGCTGTTTGGTGTGAGCCAATGCT